TATATATATATATATAGCTATAGCTATCCCCTCCCCAGAGAAAGACACAGGTAGGAGGAAAAACATGTAGTTACCAAATTTTAAGAGAAGGGGACTTCTGGAACCCAAAGAAGTCAAAATGGGGTGACTAAAACATGCCAAAAACAAACTTTTTCATTGCGCTCTTGTCCTACACAGGTAGGTATTACCTAGTGTTTGTAGTTTTCTGTTCCTTCATGTGATGAAATGTAAAGAATCCCTAGATTTGGAGTCAGAAGATAAGGATGCAAACCCCACCTCTGACTATCACATTTTAGCCCTGTGACCCTGAGTTAATCATTTTACATTCTTAGGCTTTAATTTACTCATCTATAAAATGATGGTGATATTACCTACATCAACAGATACATAACTCCAATTCTACAAAGTTAACAGTCTAGAATCTGAGGTGCTAAGTCCTTTACCAACAGCTTACGGATTCTGATTTTGAAGCAGAGGATAATTAACAGGACAGTTTATAACAGTGGTTCTCAAACCTGACTGTGGATACTTCAAAATCCCCTGTAGGGCTTGTTAAAACACAGATTCTTGGGATTTATCCCCAGGGTTTTGAGTAAATCCAGGGTGGAGCCTGCTGAGAATTTGCATTTCTAATGAGTTCCCAGGTGCTGATGGTACTGGGGCCATACTGTGAGAGTCACCGGTTAGAGGAAAGGCTGAGCATGAGAAAGCAGGGAAAAGAAATACTCATATCAGAAAAACAGTATCAATAAATATTAGGGCTGCATACTGCAGTTCCTGCCAAGTTTTCACTCTCCTCAGTATCATCTGATGATCAACAGAGGATGGGGAAAGAGGAGGGCAAATTCTTGTCCCTAGAACATCTTTTACTGAGTGGGGCTTAGTAAGAAAGGGACAAGGAAGGTTTTATTCTTGACCCCTCGAGCTCTGGCTCTAGATCTGACTAAATGAACCTGGAGAATCATGAGCAAGGTGATCCACTCAGTGGACCAGTAAGTACAAAAGTCCTCTAGCTGGCATGGCCCAGACACTGTTACCCTGACAGTGGTGTTTGGCAGGAGGTGGAGTTTATCTTTTCTACCATTTACTGTATGTGTTCAGGAATGACACTGCAGGTACAAGCTCCCAATTGTCCTCAGCAGGGCTTCAAGGGGGACCTTTTCCTTCAGAAAAAGACCTCTACATCTGGCCAAGTGGTCAGCATGGCACCCAGCTAAGGGCCACTGAGAGCAGTCAGCCTTCAGCTGAATGAAGTTTTTGTTTAGGTGAATTCAGAAAGTTCTTGTTTGATACTCAAGTTGGTGGCTTTTGTTAGCTATCAAGCAATGAGAGTATGAACAGCTGAGATGTGTCAAACTAACTTAAAGAAATGAAACTACTCTTTTAAAGAGATTTTTCATAGTTATCTGTTTGGCACAAGAACACAGAGTTTCTTTCTCCAAATCTCACCTTCCAGGGCCACTAGTCAGGAAGCTACATTCCCAAATGGAGAATGGATTGTCAGCCCTAAGTCAGGTGACAGGAGCTTGTTCTAGCAACTGATTCTGGAGTTCTGTGGCATGCGACCGTTAAGAACCCACCTTAAGAAGAAGGTGGCCTCCAGCAAGAGAATGAGTTCAAGGCTGTTGACTCAAGTGGATACTGAACTCCCCCATCCCCAGGATAGGCCCGACTCTAGCCGCTACTACTGCCAACTCTTGAGATCTCTGTTGAGTGAGACTGTTTGTTGTGCCTTGCAGATGAGGAAATGTCATGTCAGATGTTTGGTCCTGATGCAGCTAAGTCTTTAGTGGTTTCACTTGTGGATAATTTTTATTTGCTTCTGTCCTTTTTTGCACCCCTAATATGGTGGTTGTGGGAGGGATGTGCTGAGATACCAAACCACTTCTGATCTGGCACAGACAGGAAGAGATATAAAAAATGTCTTCATGACAACCAAAGGGACATGAAGTAAGAGCAGGACAGGGTGAGGGGTCAACAGGTCTCATAGGATCTCCTAAATATTAAATCTGGAGAAGTAGGACGTGGGGAACCCAAATACTTTCCAACAAGCTAGAGAAGCAAAATGGCCTGCAGAGGATGAACAATCTTCCCACTGAGGCTTTTTCCTGCTTTATGGTGATGAACTTAAAATCTGGCACTAAGAGGAGAATCAAGACTCTCCACAGCCAGGTACTGAGCATGCAGCAGCCCTAGCGGAGCTCTCCAAGAACCATGGGAGTGAGTGCTGAGGAATTTCTTTGGAGAGGGGCTTCTACAGTGCAGATTCACCCCTCCCTAAAGATCGCCCATGAAAATGCCGAATAAGCCTCTGTACTGGAAGTGCACCAACATCAATGTGGTTAACTGGCCAGCTTGGATGTGGCAAGTCCCTAAGCTACACCTCAGTCTCCTGGGGCACTGAGGATGGGAGCAGGTGGCAGAGGAAGGCTTCTGTTTCCTTGGGTTGCTACACAACCTTGGGAAGCCCAACCATCAACCCAGCCTTGCCCTGCCCTGCTGTGCCATGCCATGCCTGCCATCCTATGCCATGCCATACCTAGAAAGAAGAAAAAAAATCAAGCTCAGTTTGTGTTTATACTGACAAGGGTCAGGCAGCATACCCACCCCTGGCTTACCATATTAGGGGTGCAAGAAAGCACAGAAGCAACTAGAAAATTATTTGGAAGTAAAACCACTTAGGATTCACCTGCATCACGACCAACCACCTGGCATGACATTTCCTAATTTGCAAGGAGGAGTGGTCTGATTGCTTAGTTTAACATGCCTCCAACATTAATGTTCTATAATGGAAAATACACAGGAATTGTCTCAAAAGTGGACCCCTGTGACATGGCAGGATGTGTCAGAGTGTGAGAAGCATCTAATGTGGCACTTTATAGTACTCCTTCCTGGAAGCAGTAGTGACAAACTTTCTCCTGAATCAGCAATCTTACAAGGTATCAAGAATCAAAACGGAGAGGAAAGGAGGGAAGGGAACAAGCTCTAAATTGTTGAGAAATGGAGTAGAGGAGGAAAATGGGCGAGTCCAGTGACTCATGAGAAATACACAGGCTTAGAAAGGAGAAATCTGTCCTAAGTTACCAAACAAGCTCTCACACTGTGGTTTTTTTAATAGTCTATAAATTCTGTGTCTTAATCTCTTCTAGGTATCATCCTCTTAACCTTGCTTTGGCTAAGGTCTGCTGAAGTAACTGGAGGGAATCTTACATTTCTGAGTGATTACTCTGTGCTAGGTGCTTTGCTGGGCATTTTCACAAAGTCAACCTCCTTTAATTCTTGTAAGCATCTCTGGGGGCTCAGGAGACAAGATGGAGGGATTATGTGATTTGCACCTGGTTACCAGCTGCTTAAAGGCAGAGACAGGATTTGAACTGAGAGCAGATGAAGCCATAGCCAGCAATGGTGAACTATGGCTAAGAGCCTTGCTTAGACCTTCATTCACTAAGAGTAACAAAGAAATTACCATAAACAGGTTATTTTTTGGACAGACTGGTCTAACTGTGTGTGTTTGTGTGCATGTTCGTGTGTGCTTTTTTAAATTAAAAAAGAGGAAGGGATAAATATATACAATAATAAACAACCATTCAGAGATTTTAAATTACTAAATTTATATGAAAGTCTTCATATCCTATAGTGCTAGAGATTAACAAACTGCTATATTGTTCATACTAAAAGATGAGTCATTATACCTTATGAATAAAAAATGATCATCACCTGATACAAAGCTATGATTACAACCTTAAAATATACTTAAGAAAACCTATAATCCAAATATGCTTTCTAAATACGTTTTTAAAGTTTTGTATTAAAGGGCTCTATAGGGATAATTGCATTTCACTTCTTTTTTTAAAGTTAACTGGAAAGAAAGGGTGATTAAAGCAAGGAACTACATTAATATTTAAGTACAATAGCATCTTTGTATTTGAAGGTAGACTAATTTTCCAGCAGTGAATAACAGGATCACATTGTTCTCAACCCTCACAGCGTATACTCCATCCTTGTGTCTGCCCTGGCAGTATGGACTCTGGCTGTAACACTAGGGTCTGTATTGTCCAGCCTCTATCCACAGGCCCCTCTGAGTCATAATTTAGTCAGAAAAGGTCATGCCTGGAAAGCACTGTGGAGATCACCAAGTCCAACCATTCACTGCAGACACAAGCAAATTAAGTCTGAAAGAAGCCAATCAGCTTGCCCAGTCATACAGCAAAGTGGCACCTGAGTTAAATGAAAAAGTCTTTTTTCCTATGCCAGTGGTGCTTTCCACGGCATTGATGGTGCTGAAAGGAGGCACGGTGAGCCACCGGGAGAAAGTACAGAGGCAGGTCTCTCTTGTACCCCTGAGCTGGGCAGGATGCCCAGATACACTAAGCACTATGCAGAGGTGGCTAGAGCTGGGACAGGGGCTCCTAGGACCTTACCTCTTCCTCCCGGAGTTTCTGTTTCCTCTTCTCTTCCACAGCAGCTCTCTTCTGGTCCTCCCGCTGCCGCTGTTCTTCCAGTTTTCGCCATCGCTCCTCAATTTGCTTTTCGTACTGGAGCTTGGCTCTTTTCTGTTTCTCCAGAATCTGTTGTTCCCGGGCAGCTGGAGAAGGAAAGGCGAATAGAGGTGTCATTCCCATGTGGTGCCCCATGTGGTTTGGATTAAGACCAAAAACACAAGATTGGAGACCAAAACAGAGTCAGGTGAGATCCTAGGATGCAATGATTAAGACCAAGGACTGTGGCACTTCTGAAACTACCTGGGGGACCCTGGGCATGTTACCCATGTAGTATCTCTACCTCAGTTTCCTCCTCTGTGAGGTGGGGGACAGTCATATTTACTATATTACAATATAGTGAGGACTAAATGAGATAATGCACATAAAGTACACACACACTAAGTAACCCCACATACAGGAGCTATGACTATTATTATTATCATTAAATCAAATTTTGTATACAAACCATACATTGACTTGAGAAATTGTAGTTTTAAGAGGACATTCTTTCAAAAGTATGTTAGCAGGGTATGCACCAAGCATCAGAAACTGAGGTGGGCAAAGGGCTAAAACATATGACTAAGACTGATTATCCCACCAAGACATTTACTAAGAAGTCCTTAACTCTACGTGACAAATGGTTCCCCAGAGGAGATGATGCCTCAGCTGCCCAGGGGGTGGCCAAGCAAAGATCTGAAAGCTCTTTGCTTACCTCAATTCAATGGGCAGTCATCATCTACCTACCTCATGGCACCCTTGGAGAATACCCTATAGTACTTATCTGTCTACAGCCCTTTCTTTACTGGGGCATCTTGTTCTAAAACAATTTAAGTGCTGATTTTCTCAGTTCTCCCAAAGATGGCCTTTCTAGATGCTCAAAAGGGAAGCTGAGTGAGTGCACACAGCAGACATGTAAGGGCATTAGGACTTCCCAAGGTTTCTCTTTCTTCACCGTCATGTCTTTAGCTCCTACCATAATGGCTAGGACACAGCATAGGTTGAGTATTCGCTAAGTGAGCAAGTGAACTGTTCAGCGAATGACGCAATGTTTGTTAACGAGCCAAGAGTTCTGTGGGTTTAACTCTCAGTTCTTCATGTTTAACTAGCAATTGTCCTAGTTCTCTTCCCATTCATTCACAAATTTCTAAGGACATATAGAAGGACACTACCTCATATCTCCACTTTCTTGGGCCTAGATAGTCAAAGCGTACAACTTACCCAGACATTTTTCTCTTTCTTCTCGTCTCTCTTTGGCTAGTCTTTGCCTCTCATCTGATTTTAAAAATCCATCCATACCTACAGAAGAGAAAACATGATGATACTTAGTTTTTCACCCTTTCTCTATTTGCTGAGCACTAGAGGAAGTTGGGCATACACCCCAGGTCTGGCCACCTACATGTCAACCATTACCACACTTATCTAAAGGAAATCCAATCTATCACTCCCCACCACACATATGCAGCCAGGCCCCAACAGCTGAAGAGCTACAGCTACAGCTTCCACGTGCATGTGTCAAGTGGTACAGCCCCTTTCCATAGTCCTCTGTCCATAGGCCTGACCCTGGAAGAATCAGAAAGTACAGTGAGCGACAGAGAGGCCTAGCTGCATGCAGAGAAGCTCGCCAGGCCTCTTCTAGTCCAGCTCCCCGGTGTGAGGCAGCGCCACCTGGGGGAGAAGAGAAGCACAAAAGGGGACATGATTTTCAATACAGACTATTACACAGATAGTGAACATTTTACTTTCTGAAAGGAGCCAACTTCTGAGAGACACATACAAGCTCTTCAGGAGAAGAGCTCTTCTTTGGGGCCCCTGTGAAACTCAACACTTATGTTTGATTTCAGTTCTGCCAAGTTTGCGCTGATGTCAATTTAGTACCTCAGAACCAAAGAAGGAAGAATATAATGTAATCCTGTGTAATTATCATTGAAATATCCACAACAAATAAAGAGAACAGATGAGCTCACCCAGAAATGTCCAGGAAATAGCCCCAGAGCCATACATTCTCTGCCTAACTCCTATATGACCTTAATGGGCTTTCTAAATTAAAGACTAAGTGGATCTTCACAGTTGTTTTAAAGCTAGAAATAATTTACTGCATTCTGTTACCACTGATTGTTCATGAGTATTAGCTACATAATGTTGAAGCACACCATTCTAAAGAAATCAGCTGTAGTGCTAATAATGCAACCACATTCACATCCCCAGTGTCTCGGCCCTCCTCTCTGGGAGCATCATACTGGCTTCACAGGACACCTTGCTGCCATGGAAACCTGTGCTCCTTCATGGGAGGATCTTGCCACCTGCTATCTAGGAGAGGGGACCAGGAGCCTAGCCTGCAGTGCAGGCAGTAGGAACGTGGATAGGGGATGATGTGACAAACTCTGGGTTGTCACGATTCCCCCACATTTCTGGTTTTGCAGGCTGCATTATGTATCAGGGATACTAAAGCTCAAGAGAAAAGTACTAGAAAATCAACATTAGACTACAAGTGCCATCCTCCATGTTTCTTCAGTCAATTCTTAATTATTTTGAGGCTACCAACGATATGAATTTAAAGGCCAATTACTCAGCTCATTCTAGGTCCCCCATATGCTGACTCTAAACTCTCTTCCCAATTTGATGGCACTACTGGCCTTTCTCTCACGTACCTTTTGGCTTACACTGGCCCTTCTCCATGCCTCCTTCATTACCTCTTGAAACCCCACAGTCCCTAGACCCATGATATCCTGTGTCCCCACACAGTTTGTCAAATCCTTATTTGATCCTCTTTTCCTGCAGAAATATCTGTAACTCAGTCTTCCCTGGTAGGCTCCAGATCCACATGTGACTGACATATCCTTGGGTCTGCTCAGCTCCAGCTTTAAAGCCCCATACCTGGTAGCTCCAAAATACACACACAGTGCTCCAAAGGCAGGCATGCAGTTAATGGCAGGGAAGCAGGGACATAAAATCAGATTTTTACTATATTGACCTCAAAACTTTCATTATTAAGAATTTGTTCAATGTGAAAAGCTACTTAAGAAAAGCCTAGGGGGGCCAGGAATATAGCTCAGTGGCACAAGTGCCTGCCTGGCAAATGCAAGGTCCTGAGTTCTATTCCTGGTACTAAAAAAACAAAACAACACAAAACAGCTGCCCCACTGCACATACATCTCAAAGAAAAGCCTAGGATTCCTGAACAGATGATTCCCTCATCACCCACATCAACCTACCTACGCAAGCAGAACGTGAACCCTACTCTATACTGCCTTTGATAGTAATGGGCCTGCCCCAGATCTAAGGTAATCCTGAGAACTGCTGAAAATGTTCTTCAAATAAAAAAAGAAAGAAAAACAGAGAAGGAAAAACAGCCAAGCACGTCAAACTGACTACATCACCTTAAACAGAAGGCTGGCTGTTCCATGGACATGAACAGTGTTAGGCTGCCCCCTTGTGGGCACATGTAAGAGTCACACCTTCAAATCATTTCCTCTCCAGAAAAATCTTTATTATCATGCTTATAGTCATCACTATCAGCATCAAAATGCAAGGCGATAATCAAGCAGTTACTATGGACCAAGTGCACTGCTTCAATTTACCGGGCCCAACTACCCTAGAACAAGCAAGGATACTATTATAATCCTCATTCTATAGGTGCAGAAACAGCGGTACAGACAGGTTAATTAACTTTTCCCAAGTCAGAAGTGGAAAAAGCAGATTCCAAAGCAAGAACCTGACTCCAAAACCCATGCTTTTAATTACTGCTTTTGCAAAGGAGGAAATGCAATACCTTGATCTTGGCGCTGTGATCTAGTGATGTGCAGAGGGATTAAATCCTATCCTGGTACCAAGGATGAGCCTGCAAATCTATGCAGAAGTGTGAGTCTAACTCATTAAAGATGTGCTTGTGAGCTAAGCCCAGCTGGGTACAGATACGGCAACTGTCCAAGTAAGACAGTTATGTGTTTCTTCCTCAACTGGTGACTGGAAATGTATGTTCAGCAATGTCTTAGACACTGATATTGGGTGGGAAATGGGGGTAGCCAGAGGACCCTGAGGACAACTGTAGGCCTCTCCTCACTTACGCAAAGCAATTCAGCTTTGTCCCACTGCAGGGGATAGAGTGACTCCAACAGCCCAATGTGCGTTACCCGAAATCTCTGTGCTGTCCATTTGGCAGCCACAAGCCATATGTGGCTATTTAAACTTAAAATAATCAAAATTAAGTACAAGTTCACTTCCTCAGTCACAATGCACACATTTCAGGCACTCAACAGCCACATGTGGCTGGTGGCTACCTGACCGCATAGAGCTAAATTAAATGCCTGGGAGCTCACTCCTGTCATTCTGCCCCTTTCACGGTTAGCTTTTCTGGGGCAGATGTGGAAAATAAATATCTGACTTCAGTTAGAGTTGTCTTTTGCTAGGTAAGGCTGAGGTGGGGCATCCTCCCTTACTTTACATAGTATGTGTCAAGCAGATAGTCTAAGAACAACCTTTCAAAGAAAAAAAGCCATATAATTAACTCACGTGTCCAGCTTCTACCCTCTGACTATCAATGATTCTCAGGAGGCTGCTGAGAAACACTGGGCTCATTCCAAGGTAAGGTGGGGTGAAGCACAAACCAGATGGCATAGACTTGATCAGTTATTATCTCTACCCCAGCACAGCCAGATTTAAACTAGAGGAACTCTGGTAGACTATCATGAACACTAACACCAGGAGATGTTTTTTAAAGACGTAACATAATCAAGGGCTGATACTTAATTCAGTTCTAAAAGGAAGTCTTTCTGTGTAGCCTAAAATTTGAGTTTTAATTTTCCTCCCCAAGCATCCCTTATCCCACGTGCCTTATAGGTGTACATTTATTGTCACACTCTTTTACTTAAACCAGGACCCAATTTTATCTTGGAACCCCATGAAAACAGAGAACAGATTCCTGCTTGCTAGGGTTTGAGGAAGGAGGGGCAGAAGTGGGTAGCTATAAAGGGCATCCTGAGGGGTCACTATGGTAATGGTAATGTTCTTAATCTTGCCTGTATCAATTTCAATGCCTTGGATGTGATATTACTGTAAGATTTTGCAAGATACTAACATTGGAGGGAACTAGGTATAGAGTACATGGGACCTCTTAGTAATAATTTGTTTTGTTTTTTGAGGAAGTATCTCATCATGTATTCCAGGTTGGCCTCAAACCTTAATGTAACACAGGCTGGCCTGTACTTCATGATATTCTTGCCTCAGCCTCTTGAGTGCTGGGATTATAGGTGTGTGCCACCATGCCTGGTTCTCTGTGCTATTTACTTTTTTTTGTCTTTTTGGGACAGAGTCTCACTGTGCAGGTCAGGCTGGCCTTGAGCTCACTTTGGAGCGCAGGCTGGTCTTGAACTCACAACCATCCTCCTGCCTCGGCCTCCTGAGTGCTGGTATTACAGGCCTGTGCCACCACGCCCAGCTGTGCTATTTATTGTACCTACATGTAAATCAACAATAACCTCAAAATACAAAATTTTAATTATATAGAAAACAACTTTGGCCCAAGGGTGAAGCTGTGGGAAGGACCAAGAGACAAAAAAGGAATCAGGGGACATCCTAGCTAAAGGGGCCCTACAGAGGAGACGGACAAGGGTACTCATGTCAAAGCCACCCCTACCCTACTCTTGATGCAATCATGTTTCCCAGGGCAACAGCATTCAGGTAAATGTACACCTCTGAGACAGAGGCCTTTTTCTAGGCAACTCATCATTATGGGAAATTAAAAACAGGGATTCTGAGTAGCCACACAACAATTTTATGTTAACAGAACTACATAATTTCTCATACTTCACTGATTTGCTTGGAATAACTTCCTGTTATCCTTGGACTGCAGTACCACATTTTTAAAAACTAATTTTAAAATGAATTTTATTAGCCTGAAGCACTCTCCTACTAGAATATTAATGAGTTGATATTAGTCAATTATTCATAGTACTGGTGAGAACCATTATTGAGATACGAAGTTTTTAAGGGAAGCCAGCTGTGTTGGACTTTTAAAAATTAATTACTTTAAGTGAATTTTTTAATAACCTTCCCAGTTATACTCACATCTGCACTAGCAGAATGGCAAAAAAAGAAAGAAAATCATGAGCGAAGAATTCATATAACAGGAGGGCCAACTGGAGCCATTCACCTTCTCTGGGGAGCCCTCTTTGATCCCTTCAGGAATGACCACACCCTCTGCTCTGCAGGCCTCCTGAGTACTGAGTTTTTCCCAATTTAGGGGTGACTCTGATTTGTACTGCAATAACCTGTTTAAGCACATGACCCTTGGCCTCTAA